TATTGGATGCTTTTGAGTTATTCTTGTAAAAATATCCAGAATCTGGGAACAAGTCTGCCTAGTACCAAAAGGCCAGTGTGGTATAAATTTACTACTCTCCAGGCTCTATGACATGAGAAGCACCTGAACAATAATCATTCACACTATATCACTATTGATTTTTTTTTAAATGTGGTTTTGTTCAACAGCATCAGTGGACTGGGTAGGAATATCATTCTCACCACAATGCCTGCTGGGACAAAGCTGATTGCTGGGAACAAGCCAGTGAGCTTTCTGACTGCACAGCAACTACAACAGTTGCAGCAACAAGGCCAGGCGACACAGGTAGGCATAATTTTTTTCAGTTGCAGTTAATACTTGACTTTGAAGCGTTCTGGTCCCAAATGCACTGTAGCACAGTTATTCTACTAATGTTTCATTTCAAAAATTCCTGTATGAGAGCAGTTTTGTGGGTGGACACGGTCTTATTGGCAGATTTATATAAGCACTGTAATAATCAACTTATGAGGACACAAGCAAGCTGTGAGTGGAGAGCTTTTCTTAGTCACCTTTAATTTCTCAGAAATATTTATTTTCTCTTCACTGTGTAAGTTTCATTTTTCTTTTCCATTTTTCACAGGTGCGAATTCAGACAGTGCCTGCCTCTCATCTCCAACAGGGAACAGTATCTGGTTCTACAAAAGCAGTCTCCACTGTGGTTGTAACAGCAGCACCATCTCCAAAACAAACACAAGATCAGCAGTAAACTCAGCTACAAAATACACTGTGTAATGAGTTACTTTGGCCCTTTTAGTCCATTTCCTTTCAGTGTGGACTTGCTATAGTCAGGCATGACCATCTATAATTGGGTCCTCCATATGTTAAAACATCTGTGGGGCATATTTGAGACTTGTTGTGATTCAGAATCTGCAGAAACCCCTAACTCAAACATTACAGAATGCTGTATTTTAATGGCCTTAATGTCTTCATTTTTGAGTCAAAGGAAAAGCAATCCTAATTGGGCCTTTCAGTATTTGACTTGTTGCTAATTTTCTGGTGTGTATTTTACGTTTCAGTGAAGCTTGCTGAATAAGACGAGAAGAACAAAAAGCTTCTTGGAAGAAATGGACATCAGTTTTATATTTTTCATAGTCATTCTCACGACTATCATGGTCATTAAGATTCTGGATTTTTAATAAGCTTTTGTCTGTTTCTCTGTGCATTTTATAATTCTGCCTGGGCTTTTTTAAAAAAACCAAGGCAGTTTTTTCCTATCTGTCCTTCCCTCTCTCGGCATCCACTTCCCCCAGCCTGTTGTATCCTCATCAGACTGAACATGAAATTGCATGAGACTAAGTCTTGTACATGTGTGAGCTGGCTGAGGGGGGGGGAAAACAGCATAAAAGCAAGGGAACAAAAAGCCACTGGAAGACCTTGGTATGTCTCTGTGTGACGTGGAAGTCATAAAAACAAGTATGTGCTTGAGATTATGCAACCAAGATCAATTCCTTCTCACCAACCAATTCATTTTAACTGATGTTGATCACAGCTGATTTTTATTTCCCCCGTTTTTCAATAAAAAGATACTGACTACATGAAGAGAGTTTTGTCATCAAGCCAGTAAGCTGTTACCTGGAACTTTTCATTGTTTTTAAGACAGAACTTAAAAAAAATCCCAAATACTTATAAGTAATGTTCTGGAAGATGCTATGTCCCTCGTTCATTTTGTTTTCTGACAGGGAAAGAGGAAGCTATCTTGATGAAGTGCAATATTTATCTCCTAACCTGTTAACAGACTAAGCTTGTGTATTTATGTGTTCAATTATACATGCTTTTTTAAAACACTGGCGTCTTGCTGCTGCTGTTACTCTTATGGCCACAGCATGGAAATCAAGAAATGATCTTTTACATATCAGAATCTGAATAAGAATGGTATGGGAGGAGAATCCTGTTCTTTTATTTCTAAACACACACCCCCGCCCCCAAAACAGAATTATTGCAGATGAAAGCCAAAGTATTTCCTTACAGTATCTTTGTTTAAGGTCTGCACATCTTTCTCTTGTCTGCATTCAATTCAGTCACTTCCTTGCCATATACTAAATATTATAATCTCTATATAGCACTGCTGTGTGGGGTGTATCCTAACAAATAATTGAAAATATTTCAGTGTTTCTTACTACGAAGTTTAATCACTACTGACACGTTTTCCTGTATTTTTTCAAACTGAACATCCCCTGTCCACCAGATGAAGCTATGTCTTTGATAATTTGCTCAAGGACAAAGATGTTCAGTGTGCGGACCAGCAATATCTGATCTGTTGCACTGTCAACATATTTGAAGGTTAACAAGCGTCATGTGTAATTCCACTTATTTCAAAACAACTAGCCAGTCTTGTTGGATTACATTGCCTTTTCGCCCATTCTGCTGACATAAGCTGTCAGTTTTGTTCCTAAAGTCCTGCCCTCATGACATTACTGTCCAAATAACTTCTTCCTCAGTTACTTCTGCACAAGCATTTTACATTTCTCCTTTTCATTTTGAGTTTTCCAGGCAGTGACTTTACTCCTGTGACTTTTACAGCGGTTTGTCAGAAAGCAGTTTGGACATCTCTGTGTAATTTGTGATAGTACTCTCAAGTTAACTCCAGCAAGCAATTTAGGCTGCTTCTCTCTGTGCAGTGTTTGAAATATAAATACAATGGGCCCTTGGTATGTGTTAGTATTTGCTTTCAGGACCCCTCCAGATACCAAAATGCATGGATGGTCAAGTCCCATTATATATGGTGGTGTAGTAAAAGGGTCCCTTATATAAAGTGGCATAATCAAGGATTTCCAAAGGTTTTTATGCCTGTTCTATAGAAAGTGGCCTTAATGTCTTCTCTAAAATTACCTTGTGAGTTGATAGTTGGTTATTGTTTATGTGCCAGAGTTTATCGGGGTTAATTAGATGGATTTAGATACAGGTATCCAAAAGGATATGTGGGAAATTTTAATCTAGCTCTTTTCCTACAGTCTGAAACCTAGCTTGTGCTGTACAGTTTGTAAAAATAATTGCCGTTTTAATTTTTTTTTAAAAAAAAAAGATAGCAGAGGTTTTCATGGAGCCCTATCACACTACACTGTTATACTGCTGTATCCCATTTTAACTACCTTGGCAACATCCTGTGGAATCCTGGGATTTGCAGTTTGGGGAGGGGCATTTAGAACTCAGAGCTCTTGGGCCTCACTCAACTACAAATCCCAGAATTGCACAGGGTGTTGCCATGGGAATTAGAGTGGAAAATAGTGCTATAATTGTAGTGTGAAAAAGACTTCTGCCATAATCAAAATGGTTAGTTTTTCAGGTTTTGTTGTTATTTGACCTTGATTCATTCTCTACTCATGGTGACCCTATGGATGAGACATTTCCAAGACCCTCTGTCGTCCACTGCTCTGCTTAATTCCTGCAAACCCAATCCCCATGACCTCCTTAATAGAGTCCATCCATCTGTCCTGTGGCCTTCCTCTCTTCCTACTTCCCTCCACCTTTCCCAGCATTATTGTCTTTTCTAATGAGTCTTTTCTTCTCATGATGTGTCCGAAGTACGACTGTTTGGTCATCTTGGCTTCCAGGGAGGTTTCAGGCTTGATCTACTCTAGGACTTTGATTTTCAGGTATCTCAGCACATTTCTGTTTTTCCTGCTGCAACAGATAACGGAGCTACACCTTTGGAATCAATTACCAGTATTTATTTACTTAAAACCAAAGGTCATCACAGAACATTATTTACCTTCCAATATTAATCATAACTGCATGGCTATGGAAAGATTACATCCAATGCTGTTTTAAACAGCTAACTTCAGCCATTTCACTGTGCTGTACATTAACAAAAAGCACATTGCAGTACCTAGGTATCGGCTGTCTCCTAGCTGCTTCTTTTCCCTTTATATAAAAATAGATTTCTCCATAGCTGTTTAAAGTGGTTCTGTGTGGGTGGATGAAAGACAAAAATAATAGATTGGGTCCGCATGAGGTGCTTGGCTTGGCATGGACTGGGATAAGAATGAGCCTTCTCTAGTCTATTGGCTTCTATGCAAGTTGGGCTGCAGCTCTACTCATCCCCATGGTTGCCAATGGTCATCTGGAGAGCATCAAGTTGTGAACGGATGAAATAGTCCATTTTTTTAAAGAGGGCCCCTTGATGGATTAATGCACAGATAATGCCTGAAAGAAGATGGGAGTGAACTTGCATTTCCTTAACAGCTGCTCCCAGTCTGGTCTCCAGAGACTTTGTACTGCAGTCCCCATCACATTTAAGTTTGAACAGCCAATGCTGGGTAGAGATGATGGGAGCTGTAGTCCAAATGCATCGGATAGAACGAGTAGGCAACCTTTCCCCTTTAAGGGCCAAGGGACTTCAGCTCCCAGAAGCCTCAGCCATGTTGGCCAATAGTCCCATGTTGGCCAATAGCTCCTGGGATTCTGGGAGCTGAAGTTCCTCTGCCCTTAAAGGAGAAAGGTTGCCTACCCCTGGGATAAAAGCATATTTATTTAAGGATGATGCCTGTTATCAACAATCCTCACTCCTACCAATGGCTTAACCTAGGCTATTCAACAAGGTGTCATTATGTGAAATATGTATTTAAAATGTTCTTGCTAAGAGTGCTCAGGGTAATTTTTGATCATGTTTTATTTTGAGTCCACCTCTCCCAAGGAGTCAATCCTTGATGTCCTCTTTGAACCAGAAGTTAACTTCCTACTTAGCCCACTGTCAATACAAAGTTCAGATAAGTACCGTATATATCATCTGCTCTGGTTTTTAGCCCCAGAGTGCTGCTTCATGTCAGTTTCCACCCAGTTTCGCACTGTACGTCATCTGGACAGGTAGGTTTCAAGTCGATTTGAAGCTGCTTTATATTGCCAGTGCGGACAACCCCTAACAGTAGTATACACAATACATTTTATTATTTGCCATCAAGTCAGCTTTGACATATGAAGATCCTGTGAATGGGAGACCTTCAAGAGCCCCAGTCACCGACTTTTGGCTGAGCTGGGATTCAAACCCTGGTCTCTAGAGTCATAGCTGAGTGCTCAGACCACTAGCCCACACTGGCTCTGTAGACTCATGTATTTGTCAAGGCAACATGAGAGCATGATTGGCTGTTCCACTTTCTAAAATGTGCAAGGAATTCAGAAGTTGGTTGTTCCTGAATGCTAAAACATTTAAGTACTTAAGAGTCTAATGTCTTAAGTATTTTACCATGCTGAAAACAAATATCTGGATGTCCTTTCAATAGGACAATTCACATGGATAGAGTGGATTAAGCCATCAAGAAGTGGAGCCTGACCCCATAAGATGTTGCACAAATTCAGCAACAAAAAGAGCCACTTGATTTCCTTGTGTTAAAGACTGATGTTACTCCTTCTGCCCCAGAAAAAGCTTTATTGCTATAGTAACCTCTGAGGATGATACTGTGCTCAGAGAGAAGATTTAACCTGTGCCATAACTTGATTGGTTTGTGGTCTCAGAGAGACCAAAGTCCTCCTTTGACCCCTTGTGGGGCCCTTCCTTTTGTTTCGAGGTTTACAACACATTCCCCACTTCTCTGCCAAGCATTCCTTGTAGTAAACTATCTATCCATTCATCCTAGACAAGCATTCTTATAGTGATGCTTGGCTAAAAAGCAGGGTAGGCCCAAGACAGAACAGCAGATTGCTCCTTCTATTGACTTACCTACTCAAGGCAATTGGTTCCATTGCTGAATTGCTCTTATTTTCAAGATCTTTTTCATGTTCAGTCAAAATCTACCCTTCTGTTACTTCAAACCATTAAACCAGGTCCTGTCCTCTGGGGCAGCAGAGAACAAACCTGCTCCCTCCTCCTCTCTGTGATTACAAGGAATCCGGAAGTTGTTTGTTCCCAGAATGATAAAATACTTAAGTACTTGGAATTTAAGGTTGTCTGCATTTTACCGTGCTGTAAAGAAACATCTTCAGGACAGAAGTCATTTTAATAGGACATTCCCCATGGACAGTGGGCTAAGCCATTCAGAAGTGAACCCCATAAAGATGTTCCACGATTTCAGCAGCAAAAAGATCCACCTGGTGTCCTTGTGATAAAAACTGAGGTTATTCCTTCCACTCCAGAAAAGGTTTATTGTTAAGGCTTGATTTCCTCTAAGACCCATTTATTGGCCTTTTTAGCAGTCACTGCATTTCAAAGAAGTTTATGTTCTTCCCATCAGCTTTCTTCACTGTTCAGCTATCACAACCAGGCATAGAAAATGGAAATAGCATGGCATGGACAATTTTGACTTTAGTTTCCAATTATATACCTTTACATTTCAGGATCTTATCTGTAACAAAAGTAAATAAATGTACATCCATGTTACCTCCTTCCCCATCCCTACCTGGTTGTTGCACCACCGTCTCCATACCACGAGAATCCCGATACACACAGAGAGAAACAAGGAACTTGTGAAAATTTTAAAAAGTACTGGGTGCAAATACATACTTGGATGCAAAGGATTTTAAACAATTGAAATACAGTTGAATCCTGAACTTTTTCTTTTGGGACCGATGGATGGTCAGCTAGAAATGAGTTATGGAAGAATCCTGCAATACATGACCATAGCAGCAATATTATTATATGCTCAGAAATGGAAGAGCAACGCACTGCCTTCCTAACTCAGAAGAATGGTTGTTAAAAATTAATAGCACTTGGGACTTTTGGTCTCCTTTAATTCTTCCACTGTGTTTCCCAGTTGTTGTGTTCTGGTGTGTTTTATGTCACTTTTCGTTTGGGTAGAACTTTTTAAGGGCTTCTTAAGAAATAAAAGTTTTGGGGCCATCACATAAGAAGGTGGGATTGGGTCTCCTTTCATTTTTCTACAGTGAATATGTAGTCCTTTCTCCCAGTTTTTGGTCCTGTTCTGGTGCATTTTGTGCCATTTTTGGTCTAGGTAGAACTTTTTAAGGGCTTCTGAAGAAATAAATGTTTTTGGGACCATCACATAAGCAGCTGAAACTTGGGTCTCCTTTCTTTTCTTCTACAATGCTTTCCAGTTTTGCTTTTGTTGCTGCCGCTGTTGTTCTGATGTGTTTTATGTCATTTTTAGTTTAGATAGAACATTTTAAGGGCTTCTTAAGAAATAACAGTTTTGGGACCATCACAAAAGCAGAGTCTCCTTTCATTTTTCTACTGTGAATGTGTATTTCTGTGATGGTCCCAAAACTTTTGGTTCTGTTCTTGTGCGCCATTTTTAGTTTGGGTGGAAGTTTTGAAGGGCTTTTAGGAAATAAAAGTTTTGGGGCCATCACATAAACAGGTGGGACTGGGTCTCCTTTCATTCTTCTCTTCTCCTGTATGCGCATTTCCCCTGTTTTTGGTTCTGTTCTGGTGTATATTTCATGCCATTTTTAGTTTGGGTAGAACTTTTAAAGAACTTAAGAAAGAAAAGGAGAACTTTTAAAGGGCTTTTAAAGAAAGAAAAGCTTTGGGGCCATCGCATAAGCAGGTGGGACTGGGTCTCTTTTTATTTTTCTACTGTGAATATATCATTTCCCCCCAGTTTTTAGTCCTTTTCTGGTGTGTTTTATGCCATCTTTAGTTTGGGTAGAACTTTTAAAGGGCTTCTTAAGAAAAAAAAGTAGAAGTTTTAAAGCTTTTTAAGAAAGTAAAATTTTAGGGGCCTATACAGACTGCCAGCAATAATCCATCTTGAGACCACTTTAACTGCCCTGGCTCTTTGCTAGGGAATCATGGGAACTGTAGTTTTTTCTACGACATTGAGCCTTCTCTGTTAGAGAGCTCTAGTGCCACAATAAACTACAGTTCCCATGATTCCCTAGCACTGAGCCAGGGCAGTAAAGTGTCCATTCATTCTTCTACTGTATGTACATTTTCCCCCAATTTTTGGTTCTGTTCTTGGGTGTTTTATGCCATTTTCAGTTTGGGTAGAACTTTTAAAGGGTTTCTTGAGAAAGAAAAGTAGAACTTTTTGAGGGCTTTTAAAGAAAAAAAGTAGAGCTTTTTAAGGGCTTTTAAAGAGAAAATATAACTTTTTAAGGGCTTCTTAAGAAACAGAAGTTCTAAAGGACTTTTAAAGAAAAAATAACTTTTAAGGGGCTTTTTAAAAGAAAGACACATAGAACTTTTAAAGAGTTTTTAAAAGAAAGAAATGTAGAACTTTGTAAGGGCTTTTAAATAAAGAAAAGTAGTACTTTTAAGGGTTTTAAAGAAAAAAAAGTAGAACTTTTAAAGGGCTTTTTAAAAGAAACAAACATAGAACTTTTAAAGAGCTTTTAAAGAAAGAAAAGCAGAACTTTGTGAGGGTTTTTAAAGAATAAACTAGACCTTTTAAAGGGATTTTTAAAAGAAAGAAACGTAGAATAATAATAATAATAAAATTTATTTATATACTGCCCTGTGGCAAGCCAATCTAGGCGGTGAACAGCAATAAAATACATACAGATTAAAACAATATCATTGCCTCCTCCCCCCCTTAAAAAGTTATTAAATCAAATATAGTTAAAAACAGCTGCCATTAAACAATAACTGTTAAATAAAAAATTCAAATTCAAATACAAACCAACAATCCCCTGCTACGCATCTTTAAAAGGGAATTGTAATAAATTCCTGAAGGGAAGGTCCCAAGGATCCCAAGGACTTTTAAAGGGCTTTTAAAGAAAGAAAAGCAGAACTTTGTGAGGGCTTCCTAAGAAAGAAAAGTAGAACTTTTAAAGGTCTTTTTAAAGAAAGAAAAGCTTGTTTGGGACCATCACACAAGCAAGTGGGACTGGGTCTCCTTTCTTTCTCCTTCTTGTGTACATTTCTCCCCCCCCCCCAATTTTTGGTTCTGTTCTTGTGTATTTTACACCGTTTTGGGGGATAGAAGGTGAACAAATATGAATTTTATGAGGAGAAAGAAAAGGGCGGGCGTCGTCGTCCTGAGGGGATTTCTGAGGTGCAGCTGAGCTGAGGCGTCGTCGTCGTCGTCGTCCTGAGGTGATTTTTGGCCAATATTTCCTCCTTTTTCACCTAGTTCCCTAGTTTTTTTTCACCTGCCAGAAAGAAGGGAGTGAAAGAAAGAAAGGAAAAAAGGAAAAAGGGAGGGATTGGAGGAGGTAAAGGTGGAAGGAAGGAAGGAAGAAAGGAAGGAGATCTCGTGTGAGGGAAACCGAGAGAAAGGGAGCCATTGGGCTCCACCCTTGAAACTCCTCAGAAGTCACCTGCCTCTGAGGGAAAGAAAGGAAGGAAGGAAGGAGGGAAGAAAAAAGGAGGAGGAAGAGAAGGAGAACTCACACAAGAGGAAGAGAAAAAGCCAAGAATAATCTCATTTCGGAGGAGGCACCACGGATCTAGAGGGAGGAACTCCAAGTCTGCTTTTCTTTTCTTTTTTAATTCCCCCCCCCTTTTTTCCAAAATAATAATAATAATTTAAAAAGTGAGCCGTCTCCAAAGTCTGGGTTTCATTTCAGTTGCCCAACTAACTCATCATGGCTTCTGGTTGAATTTTTTTTTCCTCAGGCCAAAGGAGATTGAATAAAGTTGGGTATTTTTTAACAAAATTTTTTTTATATATATTTATACAAATTCTGAGGGAGTTCTGAGGAACTTTTGGGCTGCTTATCATTATCTAAAGGGAGAGGGACGAGATAAAAAGGCCCCCTTTTCAATGAAGGATTACCGACTTGCCAACGAAAGGAAAATGAATATTTATCACCCACCTCCTGGGGCCCAAAGGCCGCCGGATTTGAACCCAGGCCTGAAATATAGCAGTAAGACTCAGGTAAGGATTTGGCCCCCTGAGATTTGTGTATTTACTGTATTTTTTATTATTATTTGCTCGGGTAGTTGTGCTGGATTATTGCGATGGTGAAAGTTGTGAAGATTTCCAAAGAAATGAAAGATAGGTCTTCTTTGGGAATCCTGTTGGTTAAGTCTCCATTTGAAGTTGTTGTTGTTATTGTGTGCCTTCAAATCGTTTCTGACTTATGGCGATCCTAAGGTGAAGCTATCATGGAGTTTTCTTGGCAAGTTTCCTCAGAGGAGGTTTGCCCTTGCCATCTTGTGAGGCTGAGAGAGTGTGACTCTCCCAGGGGTCACCCAGTG